TATAACAAAAGAAACAGTTTTTTTTTTTTGTATTAGCCCAACTTTCGAATGTACAAGGAAACCCCTGAACGTCCGTGAGCGCAAGCGCTGACGTCAGGTAATTAAGGGAAATCGAACAAGCAACGGGAACCAGCCAACTGTTCTATGTGCTGAAGCGTGTTCGATAACGGCGCCCCATCTAGTACCAGCGCTTCTAGATTCCGCTGTCATTGTGGCCGCCTGACCGTGCTATTATGGTTTATGAACTAAGCTTAAGGCGATAGAGGCGAAGTGAGAGTATGAGGTCGAGTACAAAGAGTAAAATATGTTTTGCAGCGTAAAGCACTACATTATTCACAACACGATACGAAGAGGCTTGTATTTCCCCAGGGGTGACTACAACGATGAATGTCACAGGTTTATAAACAAATTCCTGTTCTCAGATATGCTTTTACTTGAAACAGTCTTACTAGAATCACCCACAGGCTTTCCAGCACCATTCAGTTGCATGCTGTGCCTTTCGTTTGGCTTCAAAGTAAACAGCGGACTCCCGTATATATAATGGGTAAATATCTATAACGCAAACAAGACCGTTGCCAATAAAATCTACCCTGAAAACAGTCATGAAGCGGAGTAACGATGCAACTACGCAATGTGCCCGGTAAACCCCCTTACGACGGACGAACCGCACTGGAGATATGAAGGAAACTATGAGTACGTGATCAGAATAGCATAATGCGATGCAACACCCAGGTACAGAGACAGTATACCGTTCACTCGCGTGCTCACTACAACATTACTCTACGCCACAGATCAGCCACTTTTCCATTCGCTATTTTTCTGCTTTAATTATAAAAACAGCAACATTACTGGTATTGACAACGCTGCTAATAATAACAATAAACACCCCGCCAACCCATAGTATAATGAACTGAAACACACTTTGTACTCCATATCTGTTCTCGACTGACGCCTCGCACAAATATATGCTGCACACAGTGGGAGTAATTACGGGAACATTAGCTGATATTAAACAAACCCCAGACAGTCGGACAGTAAAAACAATGCAAATAAAAACAAATTTCAAACAATATTAATTATATATTCGTTTCGATTTATTCAATATGTTATGTTAGGTCAATTTTATTGTAAGTAATTTTCAATATATCAAAGTACTTTGTGTATCGAAGTGAGACTAGGTGATGAGTTTCGATGAATGTGATTATGTGACAGTGTGTAAAAAAACAAGCATACGAAATCTTGTCTATTTTTTACAGCGAGTGAAAATGTTCGTACAATTGCTTGTGTATGTTATGCCAGCATTTCAAGGAGTCTTCGTGACAATGCTTGAAGCATAAACGTCGTAGCAATGCACGTCATACTGACGTCAAACATGACACTTTACCACTTCACGAGTCGCTCTCATCAACGGTTCGCTATATACCAGATTTAATTTGATTATTTTAAAGATACACACGAAACAATCCTGTACACCACGTATTGACCTCGTTATCGGATCACTCGTATCACTTGCTAAGCGGTAGTATTGACAGAAAGCAGCCTTTCAGACAACAACAGTTAATATCAAATCTTATTAAAATAAAACCAAGTCTATTTTTATTGACATGGATCGGTGTATATCTCTTTATTGTGCCCATTCGTGCCGGGGTCGACAAAGCACGTTCTCACGAGTTGTCATTTTTGTTCATGATCATTGTCATTATAAACAAACATAAATTATATATTTTCTTGTTGTACATCACTGTGTTGTAATTATCACCCGATGCAATCACGAACCATTGAGGGCGCTAGTCAGATTACAAAATAAATTAGTTACACTGTCAGGCCGCGAGTATATAACTTATATCAAAATTGCACAATCTCTTGATTCAACAGTAGTATTCATAAACTTACAAAACCCTCAAATGTCAGAGGTAATTCCACTAGATAACAATTTCGTCAATAATATACACCCTCCTTGTCCGGGGCCCGGCAGTTCCTTTCTTATACGGGGACAATTGCCGTAATTGTTCAAATTAGATGTTTTGCTACACAACAATTTAATTCCGTACCTGATGCCGCTGTAATAATGACCACCCGACTGAATTGCCCGATCTTGTTATTATGTTTTATGAACTAAGGTCAACACGGAAGTTGGTTTTCCAAGCAAATGTGAGAAGCGAAGTGAGCGTATATAAACAGAGGCCGAGTACAGAGTTAAAGTTGTTCTGCAGTACCACATCATTCACAAAACGTGACCGACGAAGTAGTTCCAAGCGGCGACTCCAACTTTCAATTTAATACCTTAAGCAACCAAACGCCAAATCAATCAATGAAATCGACATGAGTGGTGTAAAAGAATACATGTTAGACATAGCATTTACTCAGTATATTGAGGGCGCTAATCAGATGAAAATATTTAATAAATTAGTTACACTGTCATCAATCGAATACATAAAAAATAAAAAAATATTCTAACACAACACTAACTCGAAAAACTTCATATCGAAATTGCACAATCTAAGTAAACTACAATTTCGTCAGTAAAAATACACCTTTCTCGTCTGCGGCAGTTCATTCCTTATACGGGATGTCTATACCACAATGCAGTATCTGTACATATTTGATGTATTGCACCACAGCACAAAACTTATAGTTCAAAATCGATCATACTATATTACACAGTTTCATTAAACCCTATTTGGTAAC